AATAATAATAATAATAACATAACTTACCACGTTTACAAAGTAGAGACAAGTTTGTTAAATACGTACGCAGTAAATGGTCGCGTTTACAATAAATATTTGATACCTCGATGTTTTACAAAATATTAAATAAAATTAATACTATAAATACATCACATGAAAATACAATATTATAATACATCTGGAATATCACATGAAAATACAATAAAACATCGCTAAATTTACATAAGGTTACATTTAGTTTTACATAACTTATTATACTAATACTTTTGAAGTACCAGAGTATTAAGCTTTCCGTGCTACCAGGATTGTTAGGAGCAAAATACGTAGTTTCAGGAAGCACAATCTTTATGATAAACTGTTGAGAAATTCTTCAGTTTATTCCTCATTTGTTTAGGATGCTATAATCCATGATTTAGTACTCCTATGATCCTTATAAGGTAAAGCGCCAATAGTTTCATTTATCTAACATGTGTGTAGACGCACCATGAATTTCAGTACTGTACACCAAAACCTGCCTCTTAAATATCCAACGTGGATGTGGTCATTTAAAGTAGAACTGAGCATAACACATAGAGTTTATGTATCCCACGCTTCAGATTTCGAATAAGAATGTGATAATTCATATAAAACTGAAACACTGCACTGCAAGTTCGTGCAGTGCTTACATCAGTAATCCGTACTGTCCAGATGTGAGTTCAATTATATGAAATATCTGTCAGCACTTAATAGCCAAAACGCATTCGTTGATTCCTAATGCATTCTACAATAGTCTTTTCAAATCGTCATATGTGATGACAATTATTGATTAGATCAGAATTGAAAACAGGACCAAGCTCTCCTAGTATAGCTTCATCTATTTTAAGACAGAGGAGATGTGTGAGACACAGAGGGTCATACCTCGATAGTGTAGATATGCATCTGTAGAGATTTACAGTTGAAATTATAAATTGTTTGTTATCATAATAGACTAGCAAAGTTCAGAAGAACATTGCAACATATTTGTTACTGAAGATTATCAAACAATATGAAGATCATCAAACAATATGAAGATCTGTGAATACAGATGCAGTAGTCGCAAGTTATAGGGCATGTCCACTTTAACCAATTATAACTAAATAATGAGCAAGAATAAGCATTAAACCCAATATGCTACATCATGTATAAAGTGGAAAAAGATTGTAAAATTTACCAAATCAAACCATTCCGCAAAATAATAAACTGTAATGACAGAGTATGCTCGCGAAGAGTGGCTTCGGCATTGGTTATAATTTTTGCGATCTGTTTTGTGAGGTACTTGATATGCTCTCTGCCATTGAGGTGGCCTTTAGGTTTACTGTAGCAGTACACTTTAATCTCATCTAAAATTGTATATGAATCCTCCAAAAAGTTTGAAATGGCATTTCGAGCCATGCTGAGGATATATTTCTACGTGAGAGAAATATCCGAAAAATAATCGAAGGCCGTCCGGCACTCTAGTCCGATGCATGTTGACACACTAGTATTGTGTGTTACCAAGTCAGTAGGCGCACAAGTCTAACTCAGTCACAGCGGTGTGAAGAAGACGAATAAGAAGTAAGATCAAGAGTAAGAACAATAAACTTAGGCTAAACCTTATTAATTAACAGAAAGTCTTCAGTGGGAAAGTAGCCGTAGCCCAGACGTAGAATGGCTGCACTCACCACTTGGTAGGGAACAAAGCCCTTTGTCCAGCGAAAATACAATGAAAAATGGATCGCATTTCGGGGTTAAAGATGACACGCCGTCAGGATAATAATAATAGCACTACGTAAGAGATAATTGCTGACAAAGAATGAAATAGGAAAAGTGAACCGAACACGTGGGAGATGGTGCAAAAGACCGAAAATTCAGGCCCCAATAACCCAGGCAAAAGTCCACCAAATTAAAAGATACTAGTACCCACGGAGAGCGCTTGTCTTCCTGACTCCAACGATGTGTTATACTTCGCAATAATCATGATCAAACCCGGAGCACATGTAAGACACAACATAGCACTTCCGACCCCTAGCGGTCCTCCAGAATACGTCCAATTCAGAATACGTCCTGTTTAGACGAAACAAATTTTGTTCGGTATACGACTTAATTCAATTATACGCGCCATCTATGAACAAGTAGCACTATCGGTGTACTACACTAGACTACACGTTCGCGGTGCTACGATTTATAACTTTGTTAAATTTCTTCTGATTTTAATTTGTAAGTAACATTTTATTATTTTTATTAATCATGAATTGCAAAAGGGCAACAGAAAAATAAAAAAAATTACTAGAATCACAACGGAACTGAAAAAAGAGATTGTTGAGAAATATGAAGGTGGCACGCCTGTTCGAGATTTAACTGTTGCATTCGGTATTCCGAGAACGACGATATCGACAATCGTGAAAAATAAAGACATTATTAAATTTGCTAACGTTGCGAAAGGGGTTAAATCAATTTCTAAACAGAGATCGAAGACATNACCCCCCTATAAGATCATTGATTTTTCCGTTTTATCTGAATTACATGTTGTACGAGTCACTTAGATTTTACAAATATGTGAGCCATTCACAGCCCGGCACACGTATTTGTAAAATCTAAGTGACTCGTACAACATGTAATTCAGATAAAACGGAAAAATCAATGATCTTATAGGGGGGTCGACTGTAATTAGTGCTTTTATAAAAAATTATGTCTTTAGAAGTAAAAAATCTAGCAACCTCCACTTCAATCTATGTTTTATTGTGGAACTGTGTTTTGCACATGAGTGCATAATGCCAAAAAAAGATGATAATCGTTTTGAGAAACGTCACAAGGATCCATATCGTTGTGACATTACTCTAAGTGATTATCATCTTTTTTTGGAGGATGAGGGAGTATCTCCTATCCTAAAACACAAATCTTCTCACAAGTAAGTTTTGCAGTATGAGGTTTTGCATTGTCCTGTAAGAATAGTATTTTCTTTTGATTAACTAATCCTGGCTGTTTCTGAAGTAATGCATCCTACAGAAGTCAAGTTGCATCAAGTAGAACTATGCTGTAATTGTTTGGCCTGAAACTCATAGGTGACAGTACTGCTGTAGCCCATCACACACAAAGCATAGTCTTATGGGGATGAAGTGGTGTCTTTGAAGTTGCAGTAACTTCATTTCCTGAGTACATGATCCTTTTTTCATCACAAGTGAGCAAGCCATCCAAAAATGGCTCATTTTTATGATGCGAAAGAAGTGAAGAACAAATTGTTAGTCTTTGAAGTTTGTCATCTGATTATGCATGTGGGACTCATTTGTTTAGCTTCCATGATTTTCCTAGTTGATGCAAGTGTAAACAAATTGTTTCATCACATAGGTTAAACATTTTTGAAAGTACAGTAAGACCCTGCTTAATGCTGTTTCAGTATTATTCGGTAATGTTGGATTCCCCGAACGCATGTTTGCTGCGTCACAGTTGATTTATGATAGGTCATCAACTTTATTGTGTGTATAAAGATATAAACAGATTATTTTATTGTGATAAATACGGCATTTTTTAGTTTTTTACAATTGGTGATTGCAAAGAAAAAGAAAGTAAAGCGAGAAGAAAAAGCATTTCACTGGAAACTAAAATGCAGGTGCTCAGACGATTAGATGCAGGTGAACGGCAATCTGATATTGGCACTGCGTTAAATTTGTCAACTTCAACAATATAGACAATTTTAAAAAATAAAGAAAAAATCCTATCATCAGCAACCACAACGACTTCGACAACAAAAATTACCTGTACCAGAAGCAATCTGTTAGAGGAAATGGAGAAATGACTTTCCATCTGGATTGACAATGAAGTTGAATGCAATATGCCATTAAGTCAAGCAATTATAATGGATAAAGTGAGAAAAATTTTAAACCATATTCAGAATGAAAAAGGTGACATGAGTGAAAATTTCGTAACTAGTTGTGGGTGGTTTAACCAATTTAAAAACAGAAACAATTTTCATAATATACAGGTTACTGGAGAAGTGGCAAGTGGAGATACAAAAGCAGCTGCAGCATTTCCAGCAACAGTAAGAGCAATCATTGAACGAGGGAATTATCCTCCTGAATTAGTTTTCACTGTTGAAGAAGAAACTCTTTTCTGGAAGAGAATGCTAAAACATTTATCCCATGAAGAAAAGCAAGCTACAAAAGATCGTTTAACACTTCTACTGAGTGGTAACACTAATGGAGACTTTAAATTAAAACCACTGCTTGTTTATCATTCCAAAACCCCAAGAGTAATGAGGGGAATTTCAAAATCATCTTTACCAGTCATTTGGGAGTCCAATAAAAGATCTTGGATCACTATGAAAATTTTGCAGAATTGGTTTACCAAACATTTTTGCCCGTCTATTAAACGCTACTGTGGATTTAAAAAACTAGAACCGAAAGCTCTACTTTTGATCGATAATGCTCCAAGCCATTCAATGCTTTTATCTGACTTAACAACGTGCATTCCAGTAGAAGTGGTTTTCCTGTCGCCAAATACAACTTCGTTAATCCAACCAATGGATCAAAGCGTAATATCAAATTTTAAAGCTTATTATCTGCGGTGGACATTCCGACAACTGATTGATAAAACAGATGGAGCAGATAAACAATCCATTAGAGATTTTTGGAAAAACTATAATATCATGGATGCTGTAGACAACATCAATCTTTCCTGGAATGAGGTGACCAAGAAATGTTTGAAAGAAGTATGGAAGAATGTATGGCTGGAGCTAAGCAAGGATGTTGACACAAGAGAATCCATTGTTGATGTCAATGAAATTGTCAAGCTAGCTAATGAAACAGGGTTGGATAATATAAATGTGCAGGATATTCAAGAGTTACAACAGGATATGAAAGTTACAACTGGAGAAAGTTTTTCCAACAACAATCTTAAAGACTTAGTAGAACAAACAGGTGCATGAAGTTGACGAAATTAGCATTTCTGAAGATGAGGAACAAAAGGCACTTTCAACGGATTTTCTAAAAGAAACTTTAGCCACTATAACAGAAATTATGGATCAGTTTATACAAAGTGATTTAAATTTTGATAGAAGTTCAAAGGCAAGACGAAGTGTTGTGGATGCGATATCTTGCTATTGACAACTGCTTGCTGAACGAAACAGGAAAAGGCAAACGACATTAGATGACTTCTTCACAAAGAAACAAAAGATGTCAAATGAGGAAGAACCTTTCTCATCACAAACATAACTTCATTACTCAAACTTTTTTTTATGAATGTTTTATGAATAAATATCGATATTAGCAGTAAATAAGGCTATAATTAATGCATTTAACAATAAATGTTACGAAATAAAACAAACAAAAAAAAACCTGATAAATTTTATTCTTCTCTGTTCTGTTTTGCATATCCCCATTATTTGACCCCGTTTAATGCTGTTTCGTTTAGCACTCTGTCATCTAGGAACACATCCCCTGCATTAAGCGGGGTCTTACTGTACTTGCCATGTTAATCTAGAATTATTTTCAACTTTGTCATGTAATTCTTCATTATCAATAATGGAGAGTCTACCTGAATGTGGTGTATCTTCAAGTGATTTGTCATTAGAAGCAAATTTTTTAAACCATTTCTGTGCAATACATTCTGATTACTGATTTACATTTTTTCCAAATGCCACACATGTCTTATGGGATGTTTCTGCTGCCTTCAAGCAGAGTTTAAAGTTATAAAACAAAAAAGTCCAAGTTATGCCAGGCATAGCTGACATTTTAAAAGGATTTAAAGTATCAGGAAAGCAGTGCACATCAAATGAAAGTGCATTGACTGTATTTATGTAAAAAGTTTTGTTCTGCAAACCAATACAAGTTGAAACAAATAATTGCTCACCCAAATTACATCGTTTGTTTACATGATATATACAACAACTGTTCTGAAAATGTGCAACAGATTATTGTTCTGAGTTTGTGAGATACTTGCAAGGTTGATGTAAGTCTCTTTTTGAAATGGTATCATTTACATTCTCTCCACCTTTTACATCAGCCTGTTTTCAGAAAGACATTGCAGGATAGCAGATTCCACAGATTTAACTTTGAGAAAAAAGTTTGACCTAAAAGTAACTGTTTTTTATCTTTTGCTTGATGAAATTCACAGAAATCACATTATGCAAGATATGGGCTGTAGAGGGTGGTCTAATAGTTTACCACTAATTTTTGTCAAATCTTGCAATGTTGATTGTGCAACAAGCAGCCTAGCATTATCTTAAAAGAAGAAACCACTCTTTATTAAGCACTTCCAGTCATTTTATTTTCCTGGCTCTGCCATACTTTTCTTCTGTTATATATAACAATCAGTCAAAAACGATCTCCCAAGATTTTTTCATTTTTGGACTATGGATCTTGAAATGTCAAGAAATTCCAAAAAGTTTGTGGGTTCTTTTTCTGCGAGGGGTTTGATTTTGTTCATTCATTTTGAAGCTTAATAACTCCTGTGCTTTATGTTGAAAATTTCTGAAATTTTGCAGGAAGGTTTGTATATTAGGAAATTGGTGCTATTAAATTTTGGTGGTTGAGGGGATGGTGAGATAGAGAGGGGAGGTTGTATGTCATATCTCAAGTAGGGTTAGACTTAATGATGATTTTTACTCATTATTAGTTGGCATGTACAATTTTTTTTTATGAAACTTGTCCCTATCCTCAAAATTAAATTGTTCTCCATTTTATAATTAAAAATATAAAACGTTTTTTAAATGAAATATCATAACATAGTGTCATATGCAATTTTAAATGTTGCCAGGAAAGTGAAGTAGTTCTTTCTTGGATTTTTTTGAGTTTACCTCAAAGAACCAATTTACAAAGTATTAACATAATAATTACATTTTATTCAGATTAGTAATGCGGTATTCCAATAAGAGATACTGTTGCCATTACTTTAGATGCCAATGAATATTATTTTATACTGGTTAATATTTTAAAAAGTATTAAAGATGTTTTCTTAATTGTTTTAGATTTTTCTTATTGATCTTATATTTTAATAAACCTTTTCAAGTTTCTTGGTTCAATGAACATGATGGACTATTCTCTCTGCCTGGGTATTCACGATTGCGAGAGAGCCGAACAGGAAGCACTCGAGAGAGAGAAGGAAGCGATGGAAGCCGACGGAAGCGGTGAAGATGCTCCCGGTCCCACAGACGAGGACGAAGATTCTGCGGGAAGTGGACTGGGTGCGGCAGCCGGTCCGACACCTCCAGATTCACCGCAGGCTACTTCTCGTAATGAGGGTTTACCAAATGGAGTACTGAATCCTCTTAGAGACATCTATGGTCTTCATTCCACAGAAGGTTGTTCTCATTATTAATAATAATACAAATATATTTTTGTGTAAAAAAAATTACAGTGCAATTTATTTTAGGTGCACCCCGTCGTGAAGTGTACTTCATGGCATTAGTCGACGTACTCACACACTACGGAATGAGGAAACGGACCGCACAGGCAGCAAAAACTGTGAAACATGGACCTAGTGCCGAAATTTCCACTGTACATCCGGAGCAATATGGAAAACGGCTAATAGATTTTGTTTCCAAATCCATGGTATAAAAACAGGATGTTGTTTGTTTTCAAAGTTAATTTGTGTGACAGCAGTTTAAACATGTGGAATCTTAGTCATTCAGTCCTATTACACATAAACACTCAAAAAAAAACAAAAAAATAGCTGGCTGAATGAATTATATTGGCACTAATTATATCTATTCAGTAATGAGACACTAGTGATTTCTAGTGCAAAGTTAGATCTCAACTTGTTACATTCAAGATATTTGACACTCTCTGATTTTACTTATTTCTATTTTTCAAGTAATTTAACAAAGATTAAAATAGGAAGAAAAGCATATTTTTTTTATTTTAATGCCATGTCCTAAAATTAGAACGAAATTTAGCAATATTTTAGATAATTTGAGAGTTTTATTGTTAGATATCGGTGGATTTTTTGAAGTTAAAACATTTACCCTTCATCTCAGATTGCCTTTTTTCAGTAGTGATCTCACAAGTTAAACAAAAAAAAAAATGTTTTCAAATTTTCTGGTAAGAATAATTTCTGAATAGATATTAAACTCTAATATAAAATGACATTTTTAATAATTGCTCATTCATAAGTTAGTTTAAAAGAAAGTTTCTCTCATATGTCACAAGATACCATTTTTATTTTTGCCAAACAGAAGAATATTATAGCTCGATAGTGGTTGTAATATTAAATTCTATGTACTATATTGTATTTATTTCATAGTAATTCCTCGGATTTTAATTCGGATGCCTTACTTAACAACTACCATTGAGTTAAGCCTTCTCTTGCTGTACCCGTTATATTAAAAAAAAATGCTCTAAATAGATGCTTTTAATTGTTTCTGTAAAAAAAATTAGACAAGAACGTCTTCAAAATCAAAACATTCTTACAATAATTGATACGCTACAACTCATAGCATAACGACAATTACATTACCTCATACTTAAAACAGAAAAAAATTACACCACAATTTTAGAAAACTGGATAGTTTTAAAAACCAGAATAATGTGCAATTCAGCATGTTTTAATGCTATTAGTTTTGTACCATATAAATTTAAGGAAAAGAAAAAAAATATACAATGCTTTACGAATTACCATGCATGGGTTTTGCAATATTTACCATAGAGATTTATCAGTCATAGCACTTCCTATATAGCAAAACAATTACGAATACTCTTCTGGTTCTTTTGTAATGATAATTTATAATCAAATTTCAATTTATCAATTTAAATTGTTCATCATTGTTGTGAAGAAACTTTGTAATTAATTTGTATCAATGTTTATATATGTATTCATTACTTTTCTTTTGTTTGATAAATATTTTCCGCAACGGTCGCTCTTACGCAGTCGAAACGAGATCACACATCCGAGTGCCAAAAAGGGCACAAGAGTAAAAAATATGGGAAGTAAATGACTGCAAGAAGTATTTATCAGACTCTGTATTGCTTTATAATAAATGTAAATATTGTAGTTGGTCAAGTAATGTAATAAGATGTTTAATTTTTAATTATCACATTGTGATTAAAGTACTGTGCTCACATTGTTTGTTTCACTTCTTATCATAGCAATTTTGATCTTTGGCAATACAAAAAGTAATTGAGTAATTTTATCAGCCACACGGCTCCACAATAAAGTATTGGCCCGTTGCCACAGTTGGCTTAGACCGAAATTTGATTTCAATTCTCATAAGATTCGACTTCACGATCAATATAGATCAATTTGGTCCTCCACCCGCGCCGGTCATTCCGATCAGAGTCGATTCATCCACAGCACGCAGGTACCTTTACGTTTATCGATCAAATCAAAAATTAAATTGATAGACGAATTTAAACGTAAGTTTGAATATGATTTTATCTATTAACAATTTGAAAAAAACTAAGTATAGTCATAATGGGATTTCTAAGAATTATGGGAATATGCACTGATCTATATCCAAAAATATTTAATAAATACCTTTTATGATGATTAAGTTGTTAGAATTCAAAAAATATTTACTACAAAAGTGGAAAGATGGCCATCTGGTTGTATAGTCGAGTCTGTTCAGGACTTGACAATTTCTTTTAACAGTTTAGATTGGGGCGTTGTGAGCTGGCAAGGTCCAAAATGCCAAAAGAAACAACTCTTGCACCAGAGTTCATAAAATATCAAAACTTCAGTACCGACATTTATAGTTTAATAGACTTTGACTACATAAGTTATAATTTCAACACCAATAGTTGGTATTAACGCCTTAAGTTCTTAGAATTTTTGTTGTTTAACAAGCATTTTGTTGTAAATATTGAATTTTATACTAGTTAGAAAATATCAAACAACACGATTAGGTGAAAGAACCTAGCAAAAAGAAAAAACCCTTAATCAGCACTAATTCAATAATTCCTCATCTATGTACTGACCAGGAGGAGGAGTAGCTTTCTGTATCGGTTTGATGAATCTTTTGTAAGCTGTAAGGAGTAGCTTTCTGTATCGGTTTGAATCTTTTGAATGGAAATTAACAGCTTGTAGACAGAATGTTTCCTAATTAGTGTTTCTTCTTCTATTATCCAGTCTAAAATATTAGAAAATACAGCACAGTATTATTTATCATTTTAAAATCCGAAGTTAGTGTGATACAATTTGTTCATTATCCCCGCGTTTCTTTACGCAGCGCTTTACAGCCAACACGCCGAAACTGGTTTCTAATTGGCCAACACTGCTCGTGACGTCATTTAGCTACACTCGCTGCGTAAAGAATTATGCGAGGTATGCAAACGAAGTACTAGTTGGGAAATGTTGAGATAACTCCAACACCGAAAATGACCGAAAGGTAGGATGATGTTTTTGTTTCGAGCTATCCATCGCTGTACTAGCACTTGCCATAATTAAAAATTACGCTAACTTATATGTATAATATGCGTACAATATGTATACAATACTGTGTTATTTTACGCAGGGGTTGCGCGTAAACTTGTTCCATCGCAAGTAGTCTTAACGTCGAATCTTCGGAATTCTGCGTGCTAAGTAGGTATATTTAAGAAAATATGCGTTTCCGAAGGTTCGAGTTCGAAAAACTTAAAGCATATTCACTCGGTTAAATTCATTCCAATTAAAAAATGATGAAAACGAAAATTAACAGACGAAAAATTACGTTTTGTTTTCGTGACATTCACTGGGAGAACTACTATTGGAATTTTTGTTTCGTGAGCGCAGTTAAACGAACTCCGGGCATCATTATTTCATCCGTTTCTTTGCTCTTCTTGGTTGACGTTTCGGGCCTTACAACGCCCTTCTTCAGTCAACTAATTTTAAACATGCATAAACGGTTTGATGTTACGTAATAATTCAATAATACGCATCAAATTAACCAATTACATACCTTACGTTTTTAAGTAGCAATGAACTAGAAATTATAAAAGCAAATAATTATAAGTTAGCCAACAATGGACAAAAACGAAAAAGCTAGATATACTGTAATAGAAAATGTAGAATTTCGAGAACTAACGATAGACCTTACTCGATATATACGAAGTTAAAAAAACAATTAAACTGCAAAAATTAAAGCATTTTTCTAATTTATCTTAAGCGAAAACTAAATACAGTAATACCTCGACTTACACGATTTTCAAATCTCGTCGGCTTACATGTTCGGACGTGTCGCGCGGAATCGACGCATACATACAATTTATTTCTGTGTTTGTTATATCTACGGAGTCTCCAGAGACTATGCGGTGATTTGTAACCGTGAACGAATTAAAAGACGGGATAAGATTAACGAGAACATTTATTAGCTTACATACATCCCACTTGGATTTTACACGAATTGCGAAATTATACCCCGACTTACGCGGTTATCGGTAAAAAAGAAAAACAAAAGCCAGAAAAAAGCAAATTCCACGTACAGTACATGTATTTTGTAGCAGCGCCACAAAATACTAAGAGAAAAATGAAAGTTAGACTTCAGTATATAACAGATTTAAAATACAGTAGAGCCTCGATTATCCGACTCAATTGGGGACTCGGGTTGGTCGGATAATTGAAAAGTCGGATAACCGAAAAGTATGAAAAAATCCATTACTACTGTAGTATATTATTATATCCCATGTAATTAGTATATCGCTATTAACCTACTTCGCGTTGAATTTTCTTCCATGTTAAGCCTATCAAATTTTTTTAAAATAATAATCGTCGCTATTGTATCGTTAAAAATTAGAAAATTAAGCCTCGTTTAAATACTGGCTCCCTTTCACAGTCGATCCAGTGTTGCCAGCTAAAACACGTAAAAATAATATTAAAGTAGCCAAGACATAGCCAAGTATTGCAGCGCCGCATCGCTAGCTGACATTTGAATTTGCCGACTAGGACGCGATCGGTTAACCGAGGTGACGGTTAATCGGGAGTCGGATAATCGATGCTCTACTGCAGTGGTTCCCAACCTTTTTTCATTAGCGTACCCCGTGACATGTCATATCTCTAGAATGTACCCCTCATTTAAGAAATTTAGTGAGTAATCGTATTGTTAATTTTACATATTGTAACTTTAAATTAAAGAAAAAAAAACTAAAAAAAAAATGTATAATAAAGTTGTGATTGTTGCTAGGAACATTTTTTATCTAATAATTTTTTAATACCATTAGTTTGTGATACATAATATATTATTTTTCTGCCATAATAACTAACTTTTCTCTGTACCCCTAAACAACCTATCGCGTACCCCTAGGGGTACGCGTACCACAGGTTGGGAATCGCTGCTCTACTGTATCGGTATTTTGTGAACACCGTACGCTAAACAACTGCAATATAGATTCAAGAAATATAAAAATCTTAGAAAAAAAAAAAAACAGCAGAAAATTCAAAGCCAGAGCGCAGATCTTAAGCAATAAAAATAACAAATAAACGAGAACTGGCTAAAAATATCATAAAAAGGAAACGAGGGTAATGTAAAATAAGTGTTACAAATTAGATCTTTGTTTTTACAATTTTTATATGTAAAAAGAATCACAAATATATTTAAATTATTCCGAAGAAACGTTATCTTTGCTATAACTTATTGGATTAATTAAAGTAATTTTTACAGTGAAAAAGTTTGTAAATTCTAACTACAGTTCGATTCTTTAAGTAAATAAAATTATGTAAATCGGTAGGAGATGGAAAATGCCGTAGAAGCGTGCGCTTTTTTTCGTAACAATCCTAACAAAGCGCATCGTCGTAGTTTTAACGATTTGAAAAACTTAATCGTCTTTAAAGTGTACAACAGGTATGTTGTTCGAGGTTTTATACGCTTATTGTATTCTTCCAAAATGGCAGAATAGAAAAAATGATTAAGGACCCGTACACCCGCTTTAACACGTTGCGTTAGCGTTTCTCAGTCTTTTAACCCGAGAAATTTCATAAAAGTTCACTTTTTTCTTATTTTGTGTTAAGGTCCAAGAAATTTTACAAATAGAAAGTATAATTAACTGGTAAACGGTCAGAATATATTTGTATTTATTAATTTTAAACCTACTTACTAGTTTTTTTAAATTTTTGCCGGTTACGGCGCATCACAAATGGTCGATAATCGATACGTGGCAGGACTCGGAAAATTTTTTATAATTTCTGGAATAATTGCGCTTACGCCGCCTTAATTTTTAGCCGTGCCCGATAGCTTCGATAATCGCGTAACACCGGGTTGCGAAAGAATACAGACGAGTACCAAGTTTTTCTTCGTAAACCCGATTATTAAAGAGGAACGAAGTGCCGAATTATCGGGCTATAAGCTCGATGTTTCTATTAAAGCGGCCGAGGTAGACAAATCGAGAATACCAGAGAGTGAAAGAAGTATTACTTTCTCGAAATCTTTCGCGCTACGGGCGAAAAAACACGTAACGTCCGTCTCTCGTAAATGCATTAAAGGTGATTCCACCCACAAGAATCGGCGGGACTTTTCGTTACTAAAATAATAACCGGATCGCGTAATCGGAGTAGCGACCGTCTTTGCTTTTTAAAATCTTAATACAAAATATTATTGTAAATTTTTATATGTTTTATTTAAGAAACGAAAATTACCTTTTAAGAAGTTTGATTCGAGTTCATTTTTTTAATTACATTTTCAACTCAATTCGAAGTATTTTTGTTGTTATTTCCAGCAAACTTTAATGAATTTTTTTCTATTTGTGAAAATTTCTACGTAATTCGAAGGTAATTTTTAATATATATATCTTACACGGCATTATGATGATTTTGGAGGCTGAGGACGTATTAAATTACTTGAAAACAAATGATATCTTTAAAAAAATGAAAAATAATTATATCTTAAAAATAATTAATTGTCTCCAGGGAAATGAGAAACCCTAGTTAGTTATTAAAATGTTAATTAAAAATAGTCTCGGAAAGACAAACAACAGAAAAGAACGTAAAATACATAAATTTACAAACATACCTTCTATTCCGTATTACAGTAGAGCGTCGTTTATCCGAAAGAATTCCAGTCGGCCTAAAGTATAATTTTTATTTTTTTTATATTTTTCAATGTATTTATTTCGTTTGTAAAACATAAAGAAATCATTTTTAACGATACAATAGCCA